GCCTTCCAAGCGCAGGCTTGCCAGGCAGGTGCTTAAGCCACTGAGCTAAATCTCTGGCCTCTTCCACCATCATTTGTTAAAGAAGCTGTCCTTCTTCCAGTGATAAGATGGCTTTCTGTGTCTGCAGTTGCTTCTGTATCTTCTAATCTGTTACGTTGATTTTCAGGTCTGTTTTTTGCCAGTATCATACCATTTTTATCACAGTAGTTTTATAATATAATTCCAGGTCAGGAATTGTGATGCCGCCTGTCTTGTCTTTGTTTCCCAGATTGGTCTCTTCTGGTTCCAGATGAATTTTAGGATTGTTTTCTCTAATTCTGTGAGATATGCTATTGGAATTCTGATTGGGAGTATATTGAATGTGTATAACAGTTTTGGAAGTATGGCCAGTTTCGCTATATTGGTTCTTCCTACCCAAGAACATGAGATATTTCTTCATTTTCTCATATCTTCTTCATTCTTCCTTTTTCAGAGTCCTGTAGTTTTCAATGTAGAGGTCTGGTACATCCTTTGTTAAATTGATTCCTAGGTACTTCATATTTTTGAATGCTATTGTGAAAGGTTGTTTCCCTGATTTCCCTCTCAGTGAGTTTGTTATTTATGTACAGGAAGGCTATTGATTTTTGAGTGTAAACCATTTTGGATTTCTGCAGGGTGATTTTACCCTGTCATTTCTATTTGCCTGGACTTGAGTCTTTCCTTTACTTTTTTTGATAAGATTGGCTAAGAGTTTGTCAATTTTTGTTTTTTTTAATCAGTACTGGGGATTGAACTCACAACTGCCTGCTTGCAAGGCAGGTGCTTATGCCGCTGAGCTAAATCCCCAGCCCCTTGTCAATTTTATTTAATCTTTCAAAGAACCAACTCTTAGCTTCATTGATTCTTTGTATTGTTTTTTTTTTGTTTTTTTTTTTTTAGTCTCCAGTGTGTTAATTTCTGCTCTGGTCTTCATGATTTCCTCCCTTGTAGCTTTTGACTGACCCTGCTCTTCTTTCTAGAAATTTGAGATTCAACATTAAGTTGTTTATATGCACTTGGTCTGTTTTCCTGATATAGGTATTTACTGCTATGAATTTCCCTCTTAAGACTGCTTTCATTGTGCCTCTCAATTCCAAAGTGTTGTACTATCGTTATCATTTAACTGTCTAATTTCGTCTTTTAATTTCATCTGTGACCCATTGGTTGTTCAGTAGGGTGCTATCTAATTTCCATGTGTTGGTGAAGTTCTTGTGGTTTCCTTTGGCATGGATTTCCAGTTTCATTGCACTATGGTATGGTAGTGTACATGAAATAATTTCTGTTCCTATTTACTTAAGCATTTTCTATGAGTCAGTATATGGTCTATAGTGAATAACATCCCGTGTGCTGCTGAGAAGAATGTGTATTCTGATGTTGTAGGGGGGTGGAACAGTATAGATATCTGCTAAGTCCATTTGGGCAAAAATTTTATTTAGTTCTAATATTTCATTATTTATTTTTTTGCCTAGTTGAACTGTCTTTTTGTGACAATAGGGTATTGAGGTCTTCCAATACAATTGTATTAGGGCTTGATTTTTCGTGTGTGTTAGTAATTCTTTATATAGTTGAGTGCATTGGTATTTGTTACTTATATATTTAAGATTGTTATCTCTTCCTCTTGGATTATTCCCTTTATGAGGATGTAGTGACCTTCTTTATCTCTCTTAATCAGTCTTGGCTCGAAATTCACTTTGTCTGCAAATAGAATAGCCACCCCTGCTTTTTTCTGGGTTCCTGTTGCATGGAGTATTGTTTTCCATCCTTTGATTTTCAGTCTGTGAATTTCTTTTTGAATTAAATGTGTTTCTTATGTGCAGCATATTGTTGGGTCTTGGTTCTTGATCCATTCAGCCAGTCTGTGTCTTCTCTTGAGTGGTGAATAGAGACCATTAACATTGATGGTTATAATTATATGTATTGACTTATCTTTGTCATGTTACTTTGCTGTTGTTGGCTCCCCCAACCCATGCTTTTTTTTTTTTTTTTTTTTTTTTCCTTCTCTCTAATTGTTTGTCTTCCCTGGTGGATTCCTTCTGTTGGGGTTTTTATGGAGCTATAGTCATTATTTCTTTCTAGAATGTCCTTCAGAACATTTTGGAGTTCTGGTTTTGTGGTCAAAAATTTCCTCAGATGTTCTTCGTCATGGAAATATCTTACTGCTCCATCGATTTTGAAAGATAGTTTTGTAGGATACATCAATGTGGAATGAAAGTTGTTTTCCTTTAGAATTTGGAGTATTTCACTCCAAGCTGTCCTTGACATGAGAGTTTGTGCTGAGAAGTCAGCTGTGATTCTATTCTGATGGGCTTTCCTTATGGGTGATTTGTTTCTTTTCCTTAACAGCTTTTAAGATTCTATTCTTTTCTGGGTTGAATTTCTGGAATCTTGACTATGATATCCTGGTTTTAGCTTTTTTTTTTTTTTTTTTTGATTATTGCTGATTAGAGTTCTATATGCCTTGTTTTTTTTTGAATGTCAAATTCTTTTTTCTACCAGGAAAATTTTCTGTCATGATGTCTGTGAACATATTTTAATATCATTTGTGGTATCTCTTGCTTGTTTGACTCCAGTTAATCTCAAGTTATTCTTCATTGTCTCATCTAGCAGCTGCTGGATTGATTTCTCATGGTCCCTTGCTAGTTTTGAGAAATCTTTGTTTTCCTGGTCATTGACTGTAAGCCTGTCTTCAGTATCTGAGATCCTGTCCTCCTGCTGATCTAATCTACTTGGAATGCTTTCAGTGGAGTTTTTATTCTGCTTGAGTCTGCTTTATGAATTCCATTTGTTTCCTGTGCTGAGCTTCCATAATTCACTTGAGCTAGTCTATTTCTTATTTGTTTTTTGTCTGTGTGTGCTCTAAGGTTGCTAAGAATGGTGTATATTTTGGTAATCTCTGTAGTTATTTGAGAGATTATTTCTGATTTCATTTTTTCCAAAGTCTCATTCAATTGCTTTGTTGTTTCTACTTCAGAAGACCTGGTGGGGGGCTTGTGGACTGTATCCTCATTACCCCTAGGATTTGCCTTTGGTGAACTGAATGTTGCATTGCATTTTGCTTAACTGTCTTCTCATTTTCTTGTCTCTTTTTTTTTTTAGTTTAATTCCCGGGGTGATGCTTGTAAATTGCCTTAGGTGGGTTGCTTTATTGGTACTATTTATGACCCTTAGGTAATGCCTACTTCTCTGAGGTGTGTTCCAGGTGTAGTTGATTTTTGGGTTTTATGTCTTTTGGAAGATTTTACCTCTTCAGTTTGTTGGAGGTGAGAAGTTGTTGCTCATTTGGCCTAGTGTTTGTTTCTTAGGCTCTGTGCCACAGTATTTTCTGTGACCCTAGGTTAATCTCAGTCATGGAACACCAGGACCAACAGCTGTTTAGAACAGTTGTGTCAATTGTGGCTCTAGTGGTACCAGTAACATCAAACACAGCCTGTAAAAACGGAGCTAACCCTTAATTTGCAACTTTTAACTATATGAACTAGATTTGTGATTATATAACAAAATACAAAACAAACCAGATAATTATATGAGGTATATAAGTCCTCATATATAAGTGTATGTAAGTGTCAGTTTTTCCCTCTAGGGCTAAAATTTAAAATGGATTAAGGAGAAAATAGAGAAGTGGAAGAAGAGAAAGATGAGAAGGCTGGACGACAAAGGGAGATCACACCAGTTTTGGGAAACTGGTGCAGAAGACTGAAGGAAGAGGGGTGGAAGAGATAAAAAGAAGATCACTTTTTCTGTCAGCTGACAAGTTGTGGGTGATTTGGGTCTTGAAAAATTACAGGCTTTGAGAAAATGAAGGAAACTTAAGGAAACTTCATTTGTTCATTTGTTGCAGAGTTAGTAAAATTAATAGTGCTGGAGAACACACATCTACAAAGATAGCTAATGTTCTGGTACCAGTAAAATATATTCTGGATTGGATTTTTACTTGTTGCAGTTGAGTGACCACAAAGATACTCAGTATTTACTTTATTGTAGTTGTTTCTAGATAGAAATACATTGTGTCATCTTTTTTAGTCAGATTTATGGTATGGCCATCTGTAGGAGAGAGAATTGGAAAGAAGCTTAGTGGGAGACTGCAAAAAGTAATGTAAAAGTTTGGATTTATTTCATTAAATTATTCTGTTGTGTTTAATGAGTCTTTTTCTTCTGTCTGACTTAACTTCTTGTACTTTGCTTCTAGAAAACAAATGCCTTGAGAGAATTAAAAAAAAAAAGTTACCTGAACTTTTGTTTCTTGGATATAAATTGGAAAGTTTAGAAAAACGAAGTTTCTTTTTTCTAGTTAAAAGTGATTGGGTAATTTTTCTACCATTGTCCATGCTTCCTTAAAAAGAAGTATGACCAAAAGAGACTGTGTGACTCCCAAAATTCAATTTTTCACACTCCTGAGAATAGATTGACAGTAGTATTAATATTACTAATATTCCTTTTTTAAAACCTAGGTCAAAAATTTATCTCCAGAGGCTGGGGATTTAGCTCAGTGGTATAAGCTCCTGCCTGGCAAGTGTAAGGTCATGAGTTCAATTCTGGTACAAAAAAAAAAATTTTATCTCCTTGCTTTTTAAAAGTTTTACTTAAATTAAGTTTATTTTCCCAGGTAAATAGTGGTGAACAGGCAGTCTCTTTTGAGGATTAAAGATTTTATTGGATTCTTACAGATTTATCAAAACTGAAATAATTCTTCATGTAAAATGCTTTTTTTAAAAAAAAGCAATTATGTGCATGTATATTGCCATCTTATAGTAAGTCTAGATTCTCTCTGAAGATAAGAATTGGTATCCGTGATTACCCCTAAGGGAGCGAGTGAGAGACTGGGGAATAGAGTTTGGAAAGATTCTTATTCTTTGTGACTATTTTTATATTTGAAATTTATCCTATGTATATATTACTGATTAAATTTAAAATTCAAAAGAAAGGAAAGAAATATGTTTCAATAGTAAAAACCTTCTATTAAAAACCTTCTATTCTCTTCACAGTGATATCCTGAGAGAAGATGGGAAAGGGATGCAAGGTTGTGGTTTGTGGATTATTATCTGTGGGGAAAACTGCAATTCTGGAGCAGCTTCTCTATGGAAATCACACTATTGGTAAGATTGTTTTGCATTAATTTCTTCCAGGATGCTGGAAACTGGTGAATAGCTTTCATTGGTCATCTGAACTAAGGAGAGTTGATGGTATAAAACAGTGAAGTGTAAAAGGAGAAAAGATAGTGGAGAGGAAAAATCTTGCCTTTATTGAAATTCACTTGCTGTAGATTATGGCAGATAAGAAAAGGCTGGTATATAGAAATTAATATACCTGGGTGCATGTGTGGCCTCCTGTGTATTTACATGCAGATAAATTGGCATAGTCATCGCTGACTTCAGAATAAACTGAGTGAGCTCTCATTCACAAATGTAACTTTCCAATACAGCACTGCTTTGTAGGTTTTAAAAATGAAAGAAATAGCTGTTTGCTGCATTTGTGACCTAATTTTGTGAAGTGAATTAACTCATTTATTCATTGAGTCAAATAATTATTAAGCAATTGCTGTGTGATACAAGGTGTGATGATTTCTCATAGAGTTACAGAGGTAAAGGAAGACAGCATTAAAAAATATTTCTGTCTTTAAGGTGGTCCTTGTTTAGTAAGACATTGTAGGCTAGGATGAAATGGGGTTTATGTGAGAGATAGATAAATATAGATCTTTAAAGCATTTCTTTTTTAACAAGTGGCTTAGAGCATATTTTTATCTTTTACTACCCATTTTATTAGAAATCTTATTTATTTAAGCTTTGCAAAGTAATATTTGCAATTTTTGTTAAATTTTTACTTAGTGGTTATTACATCTAAATTTTATTTGGCAGTTCTCAAACATTTTGATTTTAGAATCCATTTATCCCCTTAAAATTGACCTGGGGGTATATATAATAGGTGTCTTGGTTTCTTTCCTGTTTGCTGAGACAAAATACCCAATGCCAATAGGTAACGGAGGAAAAATTTATTTTACTCACAGTTTTTGGAGGTTTCAGTCCATTATTGATGAGCTCCAAGGCAGGCTGGCATGATAAACTATTGTAGGGGAGAAACTGAACATAGCAGGGAGAAGATATCAAATTAGGCAAGGGACCATAGCAGCTTTTTTCTGCCTATTTTATACTCCAAGCAGTGAACTGGTTTAATAATCACACATTCTTTTTTTTTTTTTTATCGGTACCAGGGATTACACTCACGACTGCTTGCTTGCAAGGCAGGCACTTATGCTGCTGAGCTAAATCCCCAGCCCCAGTTCACAAATACTTAATCTCCACATTGCACCATGAGATAGTCACACAGTAGATTCAGGCACCTCTAAAAAAACCCAACCTGTGACACCATGAGGCTTTGGGGTGACACATCTAAACACAGGCCATAACATTGCAGCTCTGACTGCCCCAAAGACTCTTGCACTTTGCTGTATGCAAAGGCATTTAGTCCATCTCCAAGAGTTGTCAAGGTCCTATCACTTTCAGCCCAAGTACAAAATTTCCTCTGAGATTTAAGGCAAACTCATAGCTTTGAGCCCCTGTACAAATGAAGAGGTTAAACACTTCCAACATTAAATGGGGCAATACAGACATTTCCATTCCAAAAGTTACAAATGGGGATACAAAGGAATGGCACCAAAGCAGGTGAAAAATCCATCAGGGCAAACATTAACTCCTGTAGTTCTATGTGCAGCTTCTGAAGCAATCTGGGGCAAGATGTGAACTCCAGAGGGCTGGAGTGGCTCCTCCCCTAAGGCACTGCCTGCATTTGTAGCTCTCATGCTTCTCTTGGGCCTGCTCTGCTCCCCCTATAGCTTTTATTGAGTGACCCACGTACTTGCTTCTCCAAACTTCTGGGGTCTCCCCTGTACCTTCAGCTTCACACTCACAGCTTCCCACACTGCCCTCAGGAACACACTACCTGGCCTCTCAGGAACTTCTTCTGAAATCTGGCTGGAAGCCTTCTTGACCCCACAACTCTTCATTCTGCATGCACCTAAAACTGGCAGCATATGGATGATGCCAGGGTCTGCCACCAGCTGGAGCTAAGCTTCCTTCTTGGTTATAGGGAGTGAGTGCCACTCTGAATCCAGTTACAAGGAACAGACTCTCTAGGCCATTCTGGAATGCGGTGCTCTAGGGGCTTTCTTCTCAAAGCAAAATCTCTCACTGTTGCAATTTTGAGGCTGTAAAGGGTGGAGTCCTGCTGCTTCTTGTGGTGTCCTCAGGCCACTGTCTAGTCGCCTGTTCCTTCTCAACAATCAAGGTCTCCTCTGCTCTATATTTGCAGCCCAGTTTTACTAGAGCTTCCTTTCTGGCCAAACTCACAATGTTTCAAATCATTCTGCTGCGCTGTTAGCTCCATTCTCTACATAGGCGTGGCTAAAATCCCCCAACAGCAGCCAGTCTACCACCTCAACACTGAACTGCCTTGAAATTTCTTCTGCCAGATGAGTCTGCCACCCTTTATCTCAGAGTGAGGCAAAGTTTCTGAACATGAGCAAAATGCGGACAGACTTTCTACCAAGGCATTGAACACACATCATCAGGAGTCTGCAGCTAATGTAGTCCTTCTATCCAGCAGAAACCTTTCCAAGCCTGGTCTTTCTATGAGCCTTCTGGTCTTCTGAGCTCTGAGCAGAATCTCCCAGACAGTACAGTCAAAGGCATTTCAGCACTACTTTTTCAGCTGAGATCTCTGAACCTTTCCAGACTCTTCTCAAAGGCACTGCCAAAGGCTCCTGAACCACATGGTCAGTTATAGTCACAACACTTCTTTGGTACCAAATTCGTCTTAGTTTTTTCTCTTGTTGCTTTTGCTGTCTTCTACCACTATGAATTGTTCTGTGCCATGGGCCACCCAGCCTTGGGGCCAACTAATCACCGACTGACACCTCTAGAAATTGCAAGCTAAATAAACCTTTCTTTCCTTAAGTTTGAGTCTCAGATATTTTGTCTCAGCAATGAGAAATGTAACTAAAGACAGTCACCTACAATGGAGATGTGTGCATCTTTTCTTTCTGTCCCACTGTGGACTACAGGAGGAATCAGGCAGAGTTGTGGAGTAATTATTTGCAAGAAACACATGCTGAAAGCTACCACTTTTATGACTGCTCAGAGCCAGAACTTGAAGATACAGCAAGGCAGTGGTGTGGCATGCAATGATGACTGCCACAGTGACCACCATGATGACTTCTAAACCCTGCAGTATTTTCATCCCAAGTTCTAAGACACCTCTCAAACCCCTTCCTCAACCAGAATGCCAGCTACCTGGAGAAACCCACCACATCTCTGAAGACTCACCATGAAGCTGTTGCACCAGAATATCTAGGCTGGCAAAGCCCAGACATTACTCCACAGAAGATCCCTAAGCCACCATGGCTGAAGTTGAGAAGGAATAGCACCTGGCCCAGAATCCCCCCAAAACTAGGAGCTTTTGTGGGGAAGAGGCAGTGCCTAAGAGAAATGGCAATGGGCCAACACATGGTTTGAGCATACCTGCGGAGGCTAAAATTATTAGAGCAAGGCTCAACCCCAAGTTAACAGTCACTGTAATTTCAGCTCAGCCATTATATTCCATCTCCAGAATACACCAGTAGCTGTTCCATGGAAGAGGAAGCCTTCCTGTCAGAAACCAACCCTAGACTGTTTACCTGGTAAATGGTGCTTAGCATGAGAACTAGGGTACACTGTACAGCCCAGGGGCAAGACATACTGAAAAATGTAGTTTTCTACACTGCCCTATCAATAGAGTGGCCATATCTTCTGGGGGCAGAAGGAGCTACACTACCCAGTCTATGCTCAAGCAATCCTCCTTCCTGAGCCTCCACAGCAGCTGGAAATACAGATGCACACTACCATGCCCATTATGTTTTATCTTATGCCTTTAGTTCTCAAATAATTAACATCTTTTCACTTCCAAAAATGTTTCAGAGGGACGGGGATGCAGGTCAGAGTTGAGCACCTGCCTAGCATGCATTAGACCTTGGGTTTAATTTTCAGAGAAATACGGACACAGACACACAGACACACACAGATACACACACAGACACACACACCCACACACCCTCACCCTCTCTATGGAAGATCCCCAGGCCACCATGGTTGAAGTTGAGAGGGAATAGCACCTGGCTCAGAATTTCCCAAGAACTGTTAACTCTTAGAAAAATTTCTGTGTTTAGCACTTCCTTTTAGTGACTCTTTGGGAGGGAATCCTATAGAATCTAAGATTCCAAAGTTAGACTTAAGACAGTGAATAGTGGGACCACAGTTGGGAAGGTTACTCATGAATGAAAGGAGGGTGAGGGACTCATTGTCTACCAAGTACCACTGCCCATATGTGGGTTGCAGGAAACCCTACAGCAGATGTGACCCTGGACACTGTACCAGAGGCCTCCTGGGTGAGCCCCACTAGAAACAGAAGCATCTGGAAGCAGATGCAGGAATCAGGGCCTCCAGACAGTAGCCTCCATGGAGCCTCCAGACAGTAGGCGTGCAGGATGGCTCATACTAGGACTGGAGCATGCAGCCACGGCATATAAATTGGATGTATCTTTAATGAGTTATGACAAGCCAGACTAATAATCTCAGTGCAAGTAAAAAAGTTTGACACCATTTTTTTCCCTTATTGATGTGATACGGATAGCATTTCTTTTGCTACCTATGGGTATATGTCACTGATGTAGTTCATTTTTGTCTGTTACTGACTATATGAATGGAATCATATAATATAAATTCTTCAGTGTTTGGCTTCTTTCCTTCTTGGCTCAGCATTGTAAGATCTATCCATTTCATTGTACAAGTGATTTGTTAATTTTCCTTGCTGTATAGTATTCTGTAATATGAAGATACCTATATTTATTTATTGCTTCTATGTTAATAAATATTTGGTTTTCTAGTTTGGTCTTACTAGAAATAATCTGACTGTGAACAAACTTGTATCTATACGTATTCTGGCAATTCTGACTCTGGAGCATCTATTTAGAATTGAACTCACTGGTTTGAGAGTATATTTTAAGCTTTGTCAGATTCTGTGATCTTCCTGCTTCCTGTGCTGCTTTTGAGAATCTTGGAGGCGTGATACTTGATGCTTTGTATGCCTGTTGAAGGCTCTCTTCTTTGTTCTTAGTTGCTATTCTTTGAATGACGGTGTTCACTTCAAAATTCATGTTGAAGCTTAGTCTGTATTGCAGCAGTGTTAACAAGTGTAGCTTTCAAGAAGTGATCAAGTCACAAGTGCTCTGCCTTCATGAATGGAATTAGCATTATCATACAAGACTTGAAGAAAGTGCTCTGTTCTCTATTCCTTCTACCATGTAAGGACCTAGCATTTGATGCCTTAGCAAGACAGTGGCATGAAATCATATTAGAAGTGGGGAATATGCCATTCCTAGGCACTAGATGCCTTGATCTTGGATGTTCCAGCCTCCCTTGTGAAATCTGTTTATAAATTACTCAGTTTGTGTGGTATCTTGTTATAATGCAAACACAAATGAACCAAGACACTGCTGTTGTGAAATTTTACAATGATCTGTTATAGATCTTGTTTTATACAGTGTCCTAAGCGCTCAGTTTTTTTTGTTTTTGTTTTTGTTTTGTTTTTTTGAGACAAGCTAGTCTTGAACCATGTAGTTCAGGGTGGCCTTGAACTCACTAGGTATCCCTGGGCTGGCCTTGAACTTACAATGTTCCTCCTGTATCAACATTCCAAGTGCTGGAATTACAAGTGTATGCTACTATGCCTGGCTTTCAGTGGGTCTTTTCAACATTGAAATGTCTGTTCTTCAGTTCCCAATTACTTTGTTGATGCTGTCCCTCCTCTGTATTCTGTGTTCTCCCTTTCTGTAATTTGTACATTGATCCTCTAATTTTCTAAGTTTCTCTTAATGTTTTTTCTCTACTTTTTGGAAGATTTCTTCATACATTCTCCTTCCATTGAGTTTTTGTTAGTATGCTATTCTTTCATGGATGCACTGTCTTGTCTCTTTGACATAGTATTAGGTAGTTTGTTTTTCTTTCCATAGTTTGTTTCCTCTGAGATACTCTTTTCTGATTTTGGTCTCTATTTCTTCAGCGTAGTTATTGGCTTGTGATAGAGTGGAGACCTACAAAGCTAATTGGGAACTCTGAGCATATGGATAGCTTTCATGACTTTGATCCTCAATAAGGATGGGGCATTTGTTGGGAGCTTTTGGATGTCAGCGTATTTAGAACTTTTTTCCCATTGGTTATATTCCTCAAATTCCTTCATGTAGGATTTTTTGCTGTTTTTTGTTTGTTTGTTTGTTTTTGTTTTTGTGAGGTAGGATCTTGCTATGAAGTTGAGGCTGGCCTTGAACTCACTATGTAGCCTAGGCTGGCCTCAAACTTTTGGTGATTCTTTTGCTTTAGCCTCCCAAGTGATGGGATTACAAGTGTGCACCAACACGCCTGGTAAAGGCTCACCTGACAAGTTTTGGGAGTAGGGTAAGGGAAGAGAGCTTAAAGGGTGGAAGTTCAACATTCAGTGAGTGTGCGTGTGTGTGCAGGTGTGTCACTTAGTAGTAGATGCCGGTCTTCACTGTGGAACTCTCCATACCCTTCATCCCTTGGTTCATAGACCGTCTGGCTCTCTAGGAGTGTACCTAGAGTGTCCTAGGAGTGTGCCTTCAGTCTTCTGGTGGGAGAAGCCTGGTTGCTTAGCAGTACAAAGTGGCAAGGAAAGCTGGAGAGCCATGGGTATTACCATGACTTTATTAGTCTGTAGAGAAGCAAACATCGGAAAGTCTGAGGGAATACGGTAACTAGATTAGCTTTGGTAGTGTTTTTGCTTTTTAATTTCTTTGTAATCAAAGCTCAATACATTTATGTTTTAATAGAACATTTAATTGCCCTTAGGCTTAATTTATGATACGATGACACAGATATACATACACAAGCAAATTTATGGATAATTTTTCCTTACTGAACACTGAACACATTCCTTAGTGTAAAGACTTACACTGATAAAAGTACACTTTTTGGCTCTTTGTGATCCATTCTATGTATCAGTACTTGGTTATCTCTATAAAACCAGTATTTATGAAGATTTCATTTAGCATTCATGACCCTTTCATGTAAGCACTTGCCTTGTAAGGCAAATGCTTCTGTAGTATTTAGGTAACTTAGGAAAACTAACCAGTTTTCAAAAAAGTAACTGCATTTTTAAAATGTGGGCTGTTAATCTTATGATTTCACTTCTGGATGTAGCACATATTTAAACAAGAAAGTGTTTAGTGGGACCCTACAGTACCTGTTTTGTCACATACCTCTGCCCTGCTCATTAAAATTCAAAGTGTTAATTTTCTCTCCTTAATTCCTTTATCAACAAACAGGTATTAAATATTTGGTGTATATGTAAAATACTTCTTTTCATTCAAGGAACTTAAGACTGTTGAAGAGACAAACCCTGCACAAGTGGGGACAAAGTACAAAATACATTTGAAAGATTGCAAGTATATAGGGTTCACAAGAGAAACAGAATGAATATAAAAATACATGTGACATTAAAGAATTTGCAAGACAGGCTCACAGTGGCAGCCTACAGGGCCGGGGTGGGAAATGCAGAAGGGCTGCCTGCGTGCTGGACAACCCACAGGCTCCAGGCCAGTGTCCAAGGCTGGAGCTCCCTGCAGAGTCCAGGGTGGGTCCACATAGGAAAGGTGGAGGGCATGTGCTGGGAGCAGAATAGTCTCCACTCAGAAGCCTGGAGACGGAGGTCCAAAGGTGACGGTGAAGATGGAAGGAAGTACAAGCAAGACTCCTTCCTTTTCCTTTCTATTCCACCTGGGCGACACAGGCAGCGTGGGTCTTCAATCTTCAGTAGTTAAGTCATCCAGACACACCCAGGGCTATGCTAACCTAATCTGCTAGGCACTTCTTACCCAAGCTGACACCACAGTTAACAGTTAAACAGGCAAGAAAGGGACTGAAATTGGAATATCAGTTACAGGGTCATTTATTTATTCAGTAAACATTGACAGCAAGTCCCTGACTTACAGACAAGCTCCATTTGGGAAAATGTTCTTAAGTCGGATTCATTTGTAAGTCTGACAAAGTGAGTCTTACACACCTTTGACATAAATACATAACGTAAAGAATAAAACAGATTCATGTTTCATGATGTTGCCCTTGTTCTTTAGAATTGTGCCAATGGTTGAATGATTCATGATACAAGGACGAGCAATGTCCATCACCTTTTCATCTAGACCACCAGTTACTCAATTTTCATCTTTCCAGAGTTACTGCTTTGCACTTCCTAGCAGTCTCCTTCATACCACTGCTTTTCCTCTTGCTTCTAGACACCCTGGGCTCTGATTGAGCACTGTACCACTTTACAGAATCAACCATGACAGTGTCTGGCAGACACATGGGCTGTGTCCACAGTTTTTTCACATCTACGAATGTTTGTAATGTGGCATGCATTTTTCTGAAAGCTCCCAACCTGAATGTAAGTTCGGGACTTACTGTATTTGTTTTGTTTTGTAGCACCAGGGATCAAGTCTGGGTGCTGTGCCACTAAGCTACATCTCCACCCTTTACATTTTTTATTTTGAGACAGGCCCTTGCTAAGTTGCTCAGGCTGATTTTGAACCCATAGGAACTCTTTTGCCACTGCCTTAGTGTTAGGATTGCAGGCATGTGCCACCATGTCTGGCAAAGCAAACATTTATTAAGGACCTTCTGTATATGTTAGTTTGTACATACAGCTACAAAGAGAGATACACCTGTCTAGGAGTTCAGGAAGTTTCTGTTCCCTTAAAGAGATGCTGGAGTTCTACAGAGAGCAGTAAATTTCCCCCAAGTCCTGCCTTGTCCTTGGCTCTGGTAGAGAAAAAAGAACTAGTGTGGAAGCTACTTTTTAAATTAGCCTTTAACTCCAATTTAGATATTAATTTCTTGTATTCTTGTAATAGGTACATCTTAAACATATGTAATAGTAAATCTCACTGTCAAATTTTATTACTACTTTTATTTCTAAACAGAAATTCTTTTAAAAAGCACTTAATTTACTATGAGCTTTAAAGTTTTTTCACCCTCGTGCAGGGGATTGAACTTAGGCCCTTGTGCATGCTGGGTGAGCTCTCTGCCACTGAGCCTATCCTCAGCTCTGTTCACTGACTAAACTACTTTTCACTTTCAAGAAGTTAGTAAAGCACAACTATGGTTATTACATGTGGTAAACAGGAAGGCCAGAACTGCTACAGGACAAGGAAATTCCGAACAATTGATACTGGTATATCCAAAAAAAAGTAATAATTTTTTTTTATCCCAGGAATGGAAGAGTGTGAAACAATGGAAGATGTGTACATGGCCTGTGTGGAAACTGATCGGGGAGTAAAGGAACAGTTACATCTTTATGACACCAGAGGCCTACAAGAAGGCGTTGAGTTGCCAAAGCATTATTTTTCATTTGCTGATGGCTTTGTTCTTGTGTACAGTGTGAATAATCTTGAGTCCTTTCAAAGGGTGGAGCTTCTGAAGAAAGAAATTGATAAATTCAAAGACAAAAAAGAGGTAGGCATGTTAAAAATGCCAAATGTGAGCCAGGTGTGATGGTGCATGCTTGTAATCTGTGTACTCAGGAGGCTGAGGCAGAAAGATCACTGTGAGTTTGAGATCAGCCTGGGTGACACAGGGAGCTCAAGGCCAGCCTGAGTTACATAGTGAGACCCTGTCTCAACCCCTCCTGTCCAGAAAATAGCCACATGTGAACTATAATACTATTTACAAAGTGGTTTGGGGGCACTTTGAACAGATGGTAAAACCAGCAAACTGTACTTTTACTGTCTGTAACTGCAGTATGTTTCTTAGCCCAGGAAGTATGGGACTGACAGCTCTTTCGGGATTAGCATTTGACTTTGTGCGTTTTGGTTGTTGTACCATGTACAGGTTAAATTTTAATTACTCTCTATCTCAAGCATTATAAAGTTGTTTAGCATCAGTTTTCTCAAGCTTCTTTTTGTCTCAATGGCTGAACAGAGTTCTTTCATCCTTGGGGGGGATGAATAATTAGTGGAGCCTACCTACTGACCACCTGAAATAAGACCCACTGGCCTCACTGTAGTATAGGACTGTGACCCCCAGTGCTCACCCTTTTCATCTTAATTAACGCTCCGATTCTATCACTGTACTGCAGCGACACTGGTCTACATCAGTAATCCTGTTGTCCAGTTAAGTGCTTCTCACCTGCTGGTTCCCTTGCCTGGAACTCTTCTCATAGCTCTCCCATAGGTGATACCTCCTTGTGTAGGGTGCCATGCAGTGTACCAATTAGTAGCACTAGCAGATCTTCTTACCTGAGATTTTGTGTTTTACTTTTGTTAACTTTTTGAGATTACAGTTTAACTTTTTTTTAAAAATCCAGTTATGGTTTATGTTTTTAATGATGGGAGTCTTCCTACATTGCCCAGGATGGGCTTGAACTTCTGGGTTCACGTGATTCTCCTGCTTTACCCTTTCAAGTAACTGGGACCACACGTGTGTGCCACTGCTCCCTCATAGCAGTTTTAAGAACTAATAGAGAGATCTCTTATCCTGTTACCCCACTGCTGCCATTTTGCAAAGCTGTGGTATAGCTGGGTGTGGTGGTACATATCTCTAAGCTTGGCTACTTGGGGAACCTGTGGTAGGAGGATTGCAAGTTTGAGGGATTTAACAAGACCATCAAGTGAAAAGGCTAAGATAGCCAGACATAGTGTGCATAATTGTAATACCAGCACTCGAGGAGGCTGAGGCATGGGGATCACCATGAGTTTGAGGCCAGCCTGGACTGCATAAGCCAGTTTAAAGCCATCCTGCGCTGTATAGGGAGACCCTGTCTCAAAAACAAAAACACCAAAAAAAAAAAAAAAAACCAAAAAGGGATAGGATACAGCTTATTGGGGGAGCACATGCCTAGCACATGTGAGGGCTTGGCATCAATCCCTAGTACCACAAAAACAGATGAACCTTATAATCAGGACATTGACCTGCTAGTCAAAGTAGAGAATATTTATTTCCATTAGCACACAGAGCCAGCATATTGCCTTTCTGTAGCCACACATCTCTCCCTGCCCTTTTCTTTATCCCTCAGTAACCACTAATATAGTTTTGTCACTAAAATAGTATTACTATATAAATGGGATCATACAGTATGCAAACTTTTAGGATTCTTTTTTATATACAGCCAATTCTTTAGAAAATTGTCCAAATTGTTGCATATACAGTAGTTCACTATTGCTGAGTGGTACTCCATACACAGCATGATCACAATATACAGTCAATCTTTAGAAATTTATTACACTAAAAATACCAATAACATTAATTTTTAAAAAGAATAAAAATTTATGGAATAAAGCAAGTTAACAGAACTGAAAAAAAAAGTTTATTACTGTCAGACACTATTGCCATTAAGCCCTAGGTTCAATTTCTAATTTGAGTGGGATTAATGGGATTGTAGCTTTTACTGTAATAAAAACTCTCCCTACAATTCATCATAGTGCATATGTTTACACCAAAATTTCTTCACTTGTCTGCTGAGGAACAAGTTATTTATTTTTATTCTTTTGAGCTCTTAGTTTGTGAATATGACATTCACAAGGTTCTGCCTTCAAAGATACAAAAGGGCAAGTAACAACATCTCAGATAAATGCTATACTTTCTTCAGTATCCTCCACTCCCCTCTGCCCCTTGAAGGTTGAATATTTCAGTGAAGTCACATGCTTAAATCTTGCCTCTTTTTCAGCTTTTCTGCCACCATTCTTTATCTGTATAATGAGGATAATGGTGTTTTCCTCAAGTCGTTATTATGGAGCTTTAGGAAGTATGTTAACTTTAAAAGTGTTTATTGAGCAACTGGTGTACAGCCATAGTTCTAGGTGCAGAAAATGCAGTAAGAAACAAAGTTCTTGTTCCCATCACAAAGCTGCTATTTTGAGGTGGAAGAGGGGCGGGCAGTGTACAAGTGCATGTGCAGAATAATGCTGAGTAGAGAAGTCAAGCACAGAGAAGAAGGCCCTGCAGCCTCCATGGGATGACCTGGGAAGGCCTTTCTGATGAAGGGACTTTTCACAGGCACTTGAAGGGAGGAGGGAGGGAGCATGCTACAGGTTTAGTGCTGGGGTCCAAGGCCTGAGTTTATACACTCCAGAACCAGCAGTGAGGCCAGAGTCTGGGCTCAGAAGTGAGTTATAGGATGAGTAGAACACCTTGGCTTTCACTTTTTGTTGTTGTTGTTGTTAGATGAGAAGCCATTGGTTCTAGGTAAAGGAATGATGTGGCTTAAGTGGCATTTATATTTTCTTTTTTTGAGACAGGATTTCATGTAGGTTAGGCTGGCCTTGAGCTATACAGTCCAGGTGACCTCAAAATCATAGCAATCTTCCTGCCTGAGTCTCCCGAGTTTGAGATTACAAGTGTATGGCACCACATCCAGAAATTTTCATATTTTCTTTAAAAACAGAGTAAGAAGTACTTGCGCATAGTTCAGAAATGAAAATGACAAGTGAACTCTTATGAAGCCTGGTACCCACTGTTGTTAACCATCAGGACCCTGTACATAGGAGATAGGGCAAAGCTGTCGTGAACCTGTGCTTGGTACCTAGAAAGCCCTAGATTCATTTCCCAATAAACTCCCTACCCCTTGCCAAAAGGAAACAGTCTGCATGCCTTTCAAGTATTTTATCCCTTTACTAGGGTAAAACTAATGAGCTTAAGTGGGGCTTACTGCCAAATTATCTTACACAGGATTAGTATGAAAATGCCTATTTTTCTAGTCTGGACAACAGCATGTGGTTAAACTTTTTGATTTTATGAAAATGGAGGGTTTTTTTTTTTCTGAAAGTGAATAAAGTTGAACATCTTTACCTTATATGAAACTGACCACTCTGGCTGATGTGTTGGTAGCAGAAATGAGAAGCAAGTAGAGTAATGTAAGTTGGAGGCTGTTTAGTTACTTTATTGTTCCTGGGACAGAATACCTATCATCCAGAATTTAAAGGAGAGGCTTATTTCAGCACAGTTTGTAGAGGTTTCAATTTGCTGGATGGTATGGCAGGGGAGATAAACCCTTGCAGCCTTTCCCCTATGTGCAACCAGCCTATCCAGCCTAGATTCCACCTCCTAACAGCAAGTCTTAATCTAGTCACCTTCCAAATGCTCTGCCTGTGAGTACACGAGGCTTGGGGGGGCCATCTATGGTCAGGAGAAACCAGCCAAGGAGTCTTAGGAGAAGTGGCCAGTGAGGTAGAAGGAAAAACTTGAGATGAGGGTAACCGAGAAAGAAAGTAAAGCTAGCACCTTAAAATCCAGGGAGTAATCAAGCCATCAAATGCTGCAGTTAGGTCAGCTAATACATGGAGGTCTGGACTAGAGTAGTTTACTGAATGAGTTGAAGTTTTAGTGAATGAGAGAATTAAACACAGAACATACAGTCACCTCTTTGAAAGAACTTTGCTACAGAGAGTAGAAGGATGTGGTGCAAAAAGATTTCACTAGATGAGATAATGTGTTTGTATATTAGTAGGAGTGATTAAATACAGAGGAAAAAACTTAATGGAAACATTTGCTGATGTGACATTCCTGTCCAGGTATGAGGATGGATGGGGGGTCTAGAACAGCGAGATGTGTTGGAAGTTAGCAGTTCGTTAGTGTAGAAGAAACAACTGCTTGTTTTTAGTTTGTTTTACCGAAATAGTCTTATCAACTGAAAAGAAGATGTGTGAGCATAGGGTAACAGAGGGCCAACGTCTGAGATGTTGTCTACAGAATAAAAAGAAGAAAATGTAATACATTTTCAGGAGAGCACTAGTTGGAGGTCAGTGGTAATCGATGAAATTAGCTAAAAGGGTTGTGTGTTCTTCTCCAGCCACAAGCAGCTAAAGATTTAAGAGGTCTGGTTTACAACAGGAGAGGGGATTTTGCCAGATGAGCATGGTGGGATAACGGGGGAAGGGAAGAAAGGAATCTTAGCTGAGGAGGAATTAAGGGCATGAGCAGGGTGGAAGGACAGTGATAAAGGTAGTACAGCTAGTAGAGTGGTCTTTGGAACTGCTGCTGTAAGGGTATTTGGGCTTGGCTGGGAAGGTAGCAGTCAGTAGGATGCTGGGAATTGAGATAAGATACAAGAGCAGATGCATCGTCAGGGCCTAGGATGTGACCATAGGCTAAGGTCAAAGTAAGATCACTGGAAAGTCAAAGCACCGAGAAACTAGGTGACTGGAAGCATGGCATGGCTAGTGAAGTGAGTAGGTTATGAGCATAGTGTAGTGAGGGACACGTTCCTGAGGCAGGTTTGTGGTGAGCAGAAACAAGGGGCAAGGGGGAGAGGGAGGTATATTGGAGCATTCTAGGGAAAAATTCTGTTGGGGCAGTGTGATGACAAATTGGCTGGTTTGCCCCTTTTCCGCCCTCAGTGGTAATGGTTAGAAGGAGAAAGAGTAAAGTTCCATTTCAGTACGGCCAGAAGGTGAAGGCAGTATTCAGTGGTGGTGGTGGTCTGCAGGTGCAGAGAGAGAAATGGTGATACTGGGGAATGCACACGAAGAACAGGAACAGCCAGTGTGGTGGTAAACAGTGTAACTCCCATTCTTGAGGCTGAGGCAAAAGGAGCCTAAGTTCAAGACCAACTGGAGCAACTAGAGAGGCTCTAGTCTTAAAAAGGTCTGGAGATGTAAACAATGACAGGCCTGAAGATGGCAGTTTTTGCTGAGGTGGGTAATAGATTTCCTGAGGAAGCCAGCACTCTGGGCTCACTCCTCCATCCTGTCAGGAAGTCTAGCCTCACTGGGAGCACATCCACATAATCCTGGCTCAGAGGTCTGCTGGTTAGGTAGTTTTGACACTATTGTGACTGTGTTCTGGTCACCTCAAGCAGGGCCTGATGAGCAGTAAGCATCAGGTGTTAAGTGGATAACTTCTATTTAGTGTAAAATGCTTCTGTTGGACCATAATTCATTAAACAGCAGGTACTTTTTGAGATTTGAAAAGAACAACAAAATCTTACTTCCATGGAATTTTAGATTCTTTGAGGTACAGAATTCTTGTAGCTCTAATTGAATCCCAATGTCTTAACACCCAACATCCACAATTTAAAGGAGGAAAGGTTTACTTTGGCTCACAATTTATAGAAGTTTTAGTCCCTAATGTGGCTCCAAGGTGGAGGAGAAGCAACTCATGGCATGGTGGCAGTGGGAAGCAGAGAGGGAGCTCCAAGGCGGTGCCAGGGTTAGAGACAGATGTTTCTGGACCCTGCTCCCACTGACTCTCCTCTTCTGACCTCACTTCCCAATATAGTTTCATGCTCCAATAGTCCTGTAATCTCCCCTAAGCCCTACCTATGAGCAAGCATATGAGGCAGGGGGAGGGTGTTTAGATATAAACCATAATACCCAAGCATAGCCAAATAGAAACATACTTTGAAACCATCATTTTAAACCACTATCCAGGAGGTTAATTTGCAAGGCTATCTTCCATTTATACCCAAATTAAAGTAACTTCACCTGTTCTTTTTCTAAAAAGTTAGCATCCTGTAGAACATCTTTGTGTGTGTTTATTTTTTTTTTTTAAATAAAAAGGTACTCAGGAAGATGGTGATGCCTCACTCTTTAATGGGGCAGTTTATTAAATGGGACACTGTTCCTTATTCATTTTGTCTAAAATCTGACGTTGGCAAAGTATAATTTTTTTAATGCTTTTTCTTTCAGGTTGCAATTGTTGTATTAGGAAACAAAATTGACCTTTCTGAGCAGAGACAAGTGGATGCTGAAGTGGCACAGCAATGGGCAAAAAGTGAGAAAGTGAGACTGTGGGAGGTAACTGTTACGGATAGGAAAACTCTAATTGAACCTTTCACTTTGTTAGCCAGTAAACTTTCCCAGCCCCAGAGCAAATCAAGCTTTCCTCTCCCTGGGAGGAAAAACAAAGGAAACTCTAGCTCTGAAAACTAAGTATCAGTAATTACACAACTATTTGTTGAATAGTGATTGCCTATAATCACGAATACTGAATAAGCTAAATATTTAAAGTAGGCCATTTGTATCTACTTTTGGCTTTTAAGGCCCCATAATTTAACGCACTTGAGGTTATTCTGACATTAGCAAACTACAGACGAGTAACTTTATTCCTGCTTGCTATGAAACTATTCTCTTTAAGTCTGTCCCTGAAATCAACACCTGTCATTTAGTTGTCAAAACAGCAAAATAAATTTGAATATTATGTGAATGTACCCCCCACAATGTTTCAGAAAGTATAATATTCTATAACTTCCTGAAAATTTTTCAGTTCAAATGTCTTTTAAAGTTTATTAATCAAGGCCAGGGGATTTAGCTCAGTAGCATAAGGGCCTGCCTGGCAAGCACAAGGTCATGAGTTCAATCCCAAGTGTACCCCCTCCCAAAGGAACATCTATTATAATCATTTAATGTTCAGGATTATGAAATCTGACACTTTATGCAACCAAACTGGACCAATATCAATAATAAACTTTTTATCTCATGGTGATCTCACTGAATAACATTAAAAAACCATGAATTGCTTTTGCTCCAATCCCATTTAACATGAGACAGTGGAAATAGGTTCATCATACTTTGTAGCATCCTTTTGTTCTTCAGCTCCAGCCTTTGTTGATAAACCAAAAACATAGAGGCTCGTTTTAAAAATGACTAAGCAATTAATGACAGGAATACTATGTCTTTCTAGATGCCTAGTCATGTGCAGTAAAATACATCATAAAATACTGGACTATGCTATGATTCTCTGAAGATCTGAACAATGTGGTTAATTTTATTTAGCAAGTAGACAGCATTGTAACTTTTAGAGGAAGTAAGCCTGTTGATTCAATGTGAATCAAGCAGATGACCAAATATTTGACTTATAAATAAATAAGATGTTAAAACATCAAGTAAGCTAATATTTTAAATGGAAGACTTTTAAGATTAAGTTGCTTTAGTGAGTTCACGTCAATACTACATATATAAAAGGTAATTCTTACAAAAATAAGCTTGTTGCTATGTATAATTTTTAAAAATTCTTACAATTTTTAATTTAACAGACCTTGCAGTTTGCTTCTTTCTACTGAATGCAATGTAGCAATGTAAATCTATATGAGTATCTGTACTTACCACAAAAAGCTATAGTGAATGTATGTGTAGTAGGGGTTATTTGGAAGGGTCACACAGGGTTATGGAAATTGTACTCTCAGTGGACAGAATCAAGGTCTTACCTGCTTCTTATCACATCATCTGCAAGTTAGAAAATGCTTTTTAAAGATGCCTGGTAGTGTACGCGTATAATCCCAGCATTTGGATTGGGTCCAAGACCAGCCTGAGCTACATAGTAACACCCTTTTTTCCAGAAAGGTAAATAAATAAAGATGCAGCAGAGTTTGTATGAGATTTAACCTTTCAAGACATCTCCTGATCTACTGCTGTATGAAGTACCAGTCTTAAGTCATATTTCATTAAGTTATTTAGAAAAGAAAAATTTAGAAACTGCAATCAAAAGGCAAAGGATAGTAAATGAACAGGGGAGTGTTAGCTGATTGTTTTTAATATGGTTTATTAACACAATAACAAATGCAGACGTAAGAAGTCTACAACATATAACTAATCCACTCAGTGACTCCTATTCCACGCCTTACACTTAACAGCTTAAGGTATTTCACTACAGGTTCTCAGAAGTCCTGATTCAAACCTTTAAAGTAAATTTCATATAAAATAAAATACATTAACTACTCATATCCTACATGGTGTCTTATAGCCACATCTATTTTATATATATATTTATATTTATTTATATATATATATGAGATGACAGTCTTAAAAACTCTGTTAAATATCAATGTTCCCTTCCAAGAAGAGCCAAATTCCAATTTAAAACAAAGAAGTAGGAAGAAGTAGGCCATCTTACAATGACTTTACATAAATGGCCATGTGTGAACCTGTACAAAATTAAGCTGTTTAAAAATTACATACAAGCAGTTGAATCCAATATAACCCAAATATCTAGTATACATTCTTTTCTGTATTACATTTCAGCCAATATTGTAGAACTAATGAGTTTTAAAAGTTGCTATTACCAATTTTGTTTACTGTAGCAAGATACCTTAAGTTACAACAAAATCTTAGGAAATAAGACTGAATAATATCTGTTATAGAAATACCCTACTCTTTACCAACTCCCACCCTCCCCTGCCCCTTTAAATCATAAGCAGCTCTCTTCTGTGACAGACAAATAATGTAAGAATTGTGAAAACGCAGTTCAATTTATGTAGCGTATCTCTTGGTCCACTGTCTGGCCATTCTGTCATGTTCTGCTCTGTTGGTCATATACTGAGTGGCAATACTTCCCACCAAAGGGTCAGCTGGGGGGAAAGAAAAACTAGATTACTTTGCAGAGAGGAAAATAACATTTTATAGCCAATTATAACAGAATATTTGTGATCTAATCTGTTAGAAATACCACTTCCCACTCTTGTGTTTTTCCTTCTATTTTAACAAGAAGATGAGGTGGGAAACAGAATGCTCTAGCTTTATTTCCTTATTCTGTTTCAGTCTTAACAAATACCACTCAATGGAGTTTCTCTGCTGTTTTGTTCCCTGAAACTCAATAGAATCAGCAATGTGTGGCACCAGCCTACTATGAACGCACAGCTGTGTTCACATGATCTCTGTTCAGTGGCCCTCTTCATGGCCCAGTGAACGCTATATGAAACCTTAAAGTGTGCCTAGTGAGAAGTAAAAACTTGATATAACCAAAAGAAAAAGCATTTTCTAAATAAAAGAAAATGAAGGTTCAACAAAAATCACAACTCAGTAAATCATTAAGCATGATTAAGCCCCCCCCCCAAAAGGGGGAGCATTTTCAAAGATTGAGGGCCAACCTCAGCTTTGAGTTCTGGATCAGGCCACAAGAAACCCAGCATTTATAGAGTAGGTGGTTTGTTTTTTAAGAGAATTACATGGAAAAAATAAGGCAATGATTCAAAATGTGAAAACCCCAGAAAAACATTGTAAGTCTTAAAACATCTCCTTTCTAGAATGTGACAATTAGTGATAAAATGGCTACATTTTTCAACTAGTGAATTCAACTTCTCTTGATTAAAAATTTCCTTTAAAGCTCTTACAAAAATAAAATATTTAGAATAATCTTAGTTTAAGTAGAAAACAAGAATTTTTCAGGTGAGGAATAAAATGTAAAAAATATTATCAATAACCTTACCAGGATTACAGTCTGTAAGAAGTGAGCAGATAGAAAGGAGGACTTTAGAAATAGTTAGTGCTGGACTCCAATTATCTTTCAATATATCCAAGCAAATAACTCCTTGACTGTTAATGTTACAGTGATAGATTCTTGTCCGAAATGTAACCTAAAAAAATAAGGTCGTGTGAAACAATGTTCAAAGAGCAAAAATGTTTTAACTGAATGATCCTAAACAAACTCCCTGCTGTTGTGTTTGTTAAAAGGTAGATAACATATTACAGTAATTTAAAGCAGACAAGACAGATTAACACAGTTTTGTAAATCTGAGGTGAGATGGTAACATCTCTGATATTGTCAATTTCATTTAAAAGTAATGTTCAGTGACAAAAGCAAAGTTCAATACTTCCTTCTCACCTTAATACTACATTTCAACAGCTAATCGTTTGCTGACCTCTTGTGTTATCTGACAGTACTACACTTCTACAAAGTGTCAGAATCAAACACTGAGAACCATAAATCATCCATGATATGAAAAATTAGCCAAAGAATGTCTACACACCAAAAACAAACAAACAAGAAAAAACTTTTACAAATGTGAAGATCTATTTTTGCTTTATATGACCCATATACCAAATCCAGACATTCCAGCAAAATCCCCCAGCCTGGACATTAAGATGAGTCACATGAGAATATCAGTTATTTTGTTTGGTTTCCTAACTTTTGAGATACCAATGTAAAATTACTGTAATTACTGTTTTTTAAAAAATGACTTTCAATTCTTGTTGCTACTTTTGACTGGACTTGCAAATCATAAATTGTTGGGTATTCAAGAAATGAGTGATTTGGGCGATCCCCACCTATCATAGTCAGAGAACTAAGGAACAATTTGAACAAAACTGAAAGATGAGAAGAAAGAGACTTCAAAGCTTTATCAGGAGATTCTGATTCTTTAGTTTCAGTGTATGGATATAAAAACTACTTTTAACTTTGTGTGTCTTTTCTGTAGGGCAGAAAATAGGTGATTAATTCTGGGTTACTAACATTACTATCAATAGCACACTTCATCTGGTGTGGTGGCATACACCTTAATCCCAGCACTCAAGATCACTCTGAGATATTGAGCCCCTATTTCATAAAAACAAAAATAATGTAATTTAAACCACTCACTCACAGATATGGTCTCTGCCAAATGAGGCACAGGTAGAAGTATTTTGGTACATTCACATATATAGATTCCTTAAGACATAAAAGAAATCCAGTTTTGTAGTGGAAAATTAAATCGGGGGGATTTCTTACCTTTGGAGGTTTGAAGGGGTATTCTGGAGTAAAAGTGATATCTAGGAAGAATACACCACCTTCATACACAGATCCTGGAGGTCCTAGAATGGTAGATCTCCACTCATAGATGTTGTCACCTTTGGGACCCGCACTGTGAAATAATGTATCAACAGGTAAATAGATAGTGGCACCATCCCAATTTTTATATGGTCTTAAAAGAGAAAATGATCACTTCTCTTTTCCCTCTTTGTTTAATATGTGGATTCTCCTAGGAAAAAAATTACCTTTTTAAGCAGAACTGAGGGCATACCCATCAAATAAGCTGTAGACAAAATGTTGTATCTCTTCTAAAGGACTTCTTAAATCTTACCTTGGCTCGTAAAGTGTAAACAATACAGAGAAACACACATTACCACACAAAAGCTGACAGTGACACATGACAAATTTTTCCTTGACACTTGTAATTTGTGGACATTTTAAGCACAAAAGTTGTTTTTCTGACTTGATGGTTTTTCTTCCTTGATCTTTATCCCCCTGATCTTATAACTTTACTCGGTGGGGGGAGACGGACAAGTATCCAATTTCAAGTTACTCAGTTTCATTTCCACGTATATCAAATACTATCTGTGTACTCTCTAAACATTGTAATTTGAACATTAATCCAATTTTTATACCTATTAAATACCCTGGGAACCTAATTTGGCCATAATACCTTTCCAAAGCATCATTTTTGTTTCCAGAGTGGTTTGTATTTAATGTAGTAACATAATTTCAAAATTTTTTTACCCTCTAAAGCCTAAAATCCATGAAGAATATACCTGATGCACAAATCAGTAACTGGAATATTATGGTATTGAAAAAAGACAAAACGGTGGGGAAATGGTTCTGCCACTAATGTAAAAAAGCCCTTCCTCCAGCAAGGCTGTGGCATGAGGTAAACGTACAGACTGACTAGTTTACAGAATTTCATCGGAGTTGACTTACATCTTTTAGGAATGGTGTGTCTGTGAAACAACAAGAAGTCCTTGAAGAGTCAGTACTAATTTCTACAGGGCATGAAAAGATGCACTTTTAAGTATATGATGTGAACTGGATCTCTTTAAACATTTAATATTCATTAAACTAGGCAGTGCACTATCAAGGGTTCTGATACTAAATAGGACAATTACTGTTGTCAAGAGGTGGTTAAAAATCAGGTTCAGTTCCTTTTAAGATGAGAAGAAAGAGGAATAAAAAGCCTAGTAGGGCGTCTACTTTCCTAGAACCTAATACGGTGTACAGATTTTTTTCTTTCTTTATAAATATTAAGAGTGGGAGATGCATCGGAACATGGATTTGAGGAATGAGCTTACAGAAAAAACATGCTAGGGAAGATGACATGGTACTGTAATTTTTATAGAAGGACCTGGCCAAGAAGAGAAAGTTACTATATGACCATAGCAACTTACTCAACCCAAGCTGGTATCACCTGTGTCACACGGAAATAAGGTGGGTGGCACATGCCTGTAACCTCAGCACTGTGGGAAGCTGAAGCAAGAGGATCACCCTCTAGAGACACACTGAGACCGTAAAGCAGTATACCCAGTCACCTCATTAAATGGTACTGCTCACCATTTAACTTTTTGTCAGTTATTCCCACTAGCTCAAAAACAGTGTGACCCTTCAATATTTTCTTGTGGTGGGCATTCCTAAGAACTATTGAAAACTTGTTCCAGATAACAAATGGAGAGACCTTTTTCCACTATAAAGTCATTTATATTTGTGTTTACAAGAGTTCTACTTTTATATGATAATCACAACTTTCTGTCAGCTCTGACAGAAACAAGCTGTACCTCTCCAGTGGAAGGATTTTACCCCCATTACTTTATCTCTTGAAATTGGAACAGGTTCTTTATCAGAGGTCTGCATTCCCGGCCCTTATGGTAACCCCAGTGGGGGAAGGTGTTAGGACATGTGGCTGTTAGAAGTTAAGTAGGTGATGCAGTAGAAGCCTTCGTGAATGGGGAGTTAATGTCCTTCTAAAATACCCTGGAATAACCTCTGAGCTCTGCAGGGAATGGGCTAAGACAACTGTCTGGAAACTTAAGAGGTGCCCTAACTAGTCAGTAGCTGAAACTGCCAGCACCTTGACTTTGCCTTCTAGGCAATTTATTCTTTAAGATATAAATAAAAAGACCTACTATGAATTATTTATAGGTAAAGAATCAAGGTTGAAACAAGAAGCTAAGCCCTGTAAGTCCAGTGCTGACAATATTCCAAGCTGTTTCTTAAAAAGACTACCAGTTAGAAGCTATACTGTTTTGTTTACTTTGTGGTACTAAGGATTGAACCTAGGGCTCACTATAAAGTATTTTTCAAAGTTCCCCAGGCTAATCTTGAATTTGTGGTTGTCCTGCCTCAGCCTCCCTCAGTGCTGGGACTTTATAAGCATGAGCCACCTTGCCCAGCCCAGCTATATTGTTTTCTTCACATCCAAAGTGATGCTAAGAAACCAACCTTTAAAAAAAAAAAATCTAACCCTGGAAATAACACAGTAGTTGGGCTCAGTTCTATTAAAAGTTAAAGAATATACAGATAATTGTTTGATCTCAATTTTCATTGAGCAGTAGTATATGCAACTTTAAAAATTAAGGATTCCAGTCTGGGGATTTAGCTCAGTGACAAAAGCACTTGCCTGCCAAATGTGAGGTCGTGAGTTCAAACTCAACAAAAAAAACTCCTTGGAGGCCTAAGGCCTAGTACTAGTTTGTAAACAAACATGTCCCTCCTTTTTATTTTTATATTTATATTTTTATGTATTTATTTTTGGTGCCAGGGATCAAACTCAGGACCTTGCATTTGCCAAACAGGCATTTGTACCCCTGAGCTAAGCCCCCAGCCCTGTCCCTCCTTTTTTGCCTGTGGAACCACTGGTATAGATTACTGGAAGTAGAGCACCCGGTTAGGAATATTGTCTTTTTTGTTTCGAGACAGGGTCTCTTGCTGTGCAGTTTAGGCTGGCCTCAAACTCAAGGGAACCTATCTGCCTCAGCCTCCTGAGTGCTGGGATTTCAGGAACATTAAATCTTAAAATTTTCAGTTTGTTATGTGTAAGTATAAAGCCAAGTAAAGATTGTTACTTTATAATTTAATGTGCTTTTGAGTATAACTTCAGAAAAGAGTGTGGGGAAAGAATAACAGAAAAATGTATCATTTCTGTTAAAACTTCAAAAATGGAGGCTAAAGATGGCACAGAAACAAGTCACTGTTATGTGAAACAATGTGCTGTAGCTGAAATCATCAATTACGCAACAGGAGTCCTAATCTGTGAGCCACAGGTACTATTACTATTGTAAAAGGTCTGAGAATCTACTGAAATGACCAAGTCTTGCTGGAATTAAAACAACACAAAACTTTAGACATTGTTGTTACTAGATAATGCATATACTTATGCATTGTTTCTTCTTAATTAGAAAAAAAATAAGCAAAAAATATGCTACAGGAGTCTGCTCTAGGTAGGAGCTCTTTTTGCTTTCTCAGTTTTGAGAAAGTTAGGATCTACTGGTCTAGAAACTGAGCAGACCTGTTCTCACAAGGCTAGTATCAAAACAGGCAACAGGAAAATCTACATGGGTCTGTTCTAGTGTCCTGCCATTTTTCAGTAAATTGACTCACTAGATTTACACTCAGATCAGCTAAGGCCTTCTGTCCCCCTCTCTTCAATTGCAAGCACTGGTTACAATATACTTCAGAAAAACATGTAATTTAAAGTCAATCTGAATAATCACAAATAGGAAAGTTGTGCGTATAGGGGAAAAGGAGTAACAACAACTAATGTACTTCACAATTTTGCCTAACGTCTACCTGTCTTCACCTGGGCACTTAATTTGATTAAGTCATCTCAGCTCTGCATGCATTTTTAAAAAGCCAGTTACTTCAAAAGTATCCCAGAGATGGTTTTATCATGTTTATCTTATTGATTTTATTATGTGTGATAGTATAAACAAAAATTTTTATGGACAAGGAGATAATATAGTAAACATTGTTCGTTTTCTGTTGTTTCTGAGTACCCTGTAATACTTTCATTCTCTTGAATGGTTTTATTATACTATTTTGTTATGTTTGATACTGTAGTGTATGAAAGTACACTCAAATATTTCAAGGAAAGAGAAACTGTGGTACCTGCTACTGTTATGTCGGGTTGTCCTGTTGGTGAAACACTATGTTGCTTAAATTGTTCTGTTCTGATCTGTTTTGTTATGTCCTCTTTCATCTTAATCTTTTTTTTTTAAAGTATAAGACAACACTCTTGCGTTTATAGCCCAATTATCCCTGTTTGAAGATGATGAAATTTGTCATTAGTCTGTGTGACAATCTGAGGATACAGAAAGAGACTATGGATATGCCACTTACATTTATTTCACTTTTTACTTCCACTAAAGCAACATACCCCAATGCAAGATTAACTCTATAAATTGAGTCCCGATACAAATTTGATTGTTAAAGAGAATAGATTACACCACTCCAATAAGAAAATCGTTTCCTTAGAATCCTTGTTTCATTTTATTTATTTTGATACTGAGAATGGAACTCGACCTGATGTTTGCCAGGTGTTATGCTGCTGGGCTATATTCTGGGCCCTTGGCTTCTTTTAAAAGCACTACGGGCAGTTTTATTTTTCTCCCCACCCTGGGCTATTTCAAAGGTTAATTTGTTCTCCTGTCACAAGCTAGGCTCGAAACTTCCAAATATCCTTCAAGCTGACATTAGTTGTGCCAAATTTGTTTGCTATTTTTATCACTTCTTTCTCAATGTCTTGATTGGTGCCCTTCACAGTGATGTGGCAACTGGCACTGGCATAATGGCAGAAAATTACTTTCCTAAAACCTTGAGTTCTGTTCCAGCCAGATCCATGGACAACCAAAGGATGAAAGAAAACAGTGTCTCCCTTGTCCATTATGAGATGTATATAGGTATTGTCCTGTTCATAGTCCTGGATCCTGTGGAACATTAGATTCACTCCACCCTCCCACTGGGGTAACCATGTGGCTTCACAGAACTTTTGTGGGTGCCTGGAGGCACGAACAAACAACTTTTTATCTGGGCAGTGTGCTCCACTGTGGTCCAAATACCAACAATGTGATCAATGGGTCGAAAAGGTAAATAGTGCAG